GAACCTGTTGTTTGAGTACTCATAGAGACGACCACGGCTAGAGAAAACGATGAGTGCGACTTCAGCATCACAAAGAACAGAGAGTTCATAAGCTTTCTTGAGCAAACCATTTCTACGTTTACAGAAAGTAACTTGACGATTCGTTGTGTTTTCGATCCGTTTGATTTCGATCTTCCCTCTTCCAGATTTCCTCTCGAGTGGAGAGGAATCTCCTCCAAGCTCAGATTGGTACGCCGTTTTTGCTGCTCCAAAAAAGCCAAGAATTTAGGGCAAAATTGATTACAAGAATCTTTAAAAAACCCATCAAGATTTTCTTTAAAAGATTCAAGATTTGTCATGTTTTCGATTATGGTTTTGGGATCAAACTAAATTAGATTCAATTTTAGTTTCTTGCCGACACACATCTAAGGAAAGAAAGAAAGTTGATCTTACATTCATATTCTTCCTAACAAGAGTTTTGAGACAAGAATTAGTTAAAGTAATTAAGAGACCAAATCTTGAAAGGAAAAGTTTCAGAGCAAAAGAAGAAGATCAGAACAATTTTTGAATCTTGTTTCACTCTAAAGAACCAAATTAAAAAAAAACAGGTAAAAAGAGGAAACTAAAAAGAAGAACATAGATTTGGTTTAAAAGGACCAAAAGAAGTGAAGCAAAGTATTATTAAGAAGAAGATAATGTTTGAAAGGATTAGGGAACAAGAAAATATATTAGACTGACCTGTTGGGGGGAGAAGAACAAAGAGGAAAGTTTTATTTTTCTTCGGAAAATGATTTTCTGGAAAGTATGAGATTTGGAGAAGTTGCAGAAAATGGAAGGTAAGGTTTGTGCTGGTGAAGAGATGGGTATATACATTTATAATGGAATATAATTTCTTTCTTTCTTTTAATTATTATATAATTTCTCCAATTGTAATTTTTTTTTTCTTGCCACTTTTTTTAACACCCATATAGTGTCTTGTCAATTTGTGTTTGATTACTGGTTTTCTTGCTCACTAAAGCATAGTTTTATGAATCAAATCTCAGAGATAAGTATGTGTTTTTTCTTTATTATATAATCAAAATTCTGTGCAAACTAATATTGGAAAGTACAAATGTCATAAAATTATGTGGTGACAAACTATGTATTCATTATCAGAATTGACAAACTAATCTTGGAAAGTACAAATATGATTTTTCATTATCAGTAAATTTAGACAAGCATGTGAAACTTAAAAAGATGTACAAAGAGGAATCTAAAGGTTCACTTGCTACAAAGGATGAGTATATAGCAGCTTTTGAAATCACATGAAATTTTTTTTTAATAAAATAGAGGGTTAATTACCATAAATAACACCCACCATACATCTAGACTTTTTTATAAATATAATACTTATTAAGGACATCCCAAATTGAGAAATTGTTGAGAACAAAAATTATTATTGTAAATGGAGAAAAAAGAGGGTTTTATTGGTGGATAGTTCTTGTGTGGTCTTTCACAAAGGTCTAAATGAAAAGAAGGTTCAAGTTGGGCAATCACTCATGAGATACAGACTCTACTTACCATTACTTGTCTTTCCTTTTCATGTGAAAGTTTTTGAGGCACTAAAATCTTTGGGTAAATCTCAGTACAATATTTTTTATTTTATTTTTGTTACTACAAATATTGACCTTCTTCTTTGTTTTTACTAAATCTTGATGTTTTTTAAAGAGGAAAATGTATCAGCTCTATTCCCTTTTCTATTGTGAACATATATTATGTAGAAGATTTATGTGACATTTTGCAGGAAAACTTGTTTCACTAAACACGGAAGTAATGTATATGCATGTCTATATCGTTTTTTAATAACAGATTTTTCTGTAAATTTGATATATTCAATTTTGTGAGAATACTATAGTTAAATGATTGAAAATTAAAATTAAAACTTTCATAAGAACATTGCAATCAAATTAATGGGGTGCAATTTCATATAGGAAATGATTGTGTATAAATAATAACGAATAAAAGAAATATGTGAAGTTATATATTTGGTTAATTAAGCTAAACATTGGTGGGAACCAATATGTTTATCTCTCTCTTCTCTGGAAAAATAGAGAATGAAAGATGTAAAAAACAAAAGGGATTATTTCCAAATCTACCACAATCCAAAAATTTTTTTCAAAATCTACTACAAATGATATTATTTACGGAATGAAAAAGACACTTATATCCCTAGTCACCAAAATGGCACATGGAGTACATTTTCGTCCACAATGTTTTCATTTTTGTCCTTGACCACCGTCTCCGTCATCATTTTTGTCCTCGACCACCGTCTCCATATCACCGTTTTTGTCTCCGATCATCGTTTCCATCGTCGTTATTGTCCACGATCGCTGTCGCCGCCGTCGTTTGTGTCCCCCACAACTGTGTCGACATTTTTGTCTTCGACCACTGTCTCTATCATGTCCACTACCGTCTCTTTCGTTGTTTTTGT